ACACTGAGAGTCAACACTCTGAGAATCTTTATGAGAATTCTTGAAGAGAGTATCTATAATCTGAAGAGTTTACAGGCTTTGAGAAGCACTGCAGAAGATCTGATATAAGAGAAAATAGAGTATAAGTCTTTATAAGATCTTCTATTCAGATTGTCTGAACTGCAACTGAAGAATGAATATACTCAATATATTCAGAAACTACTCACAGTAGAAATTAATTCTGCAGAAATAAATAATTAAAGAGACTTAAATAATCTCTTGTAAAGAGAGAATCAGATTTATATATCTATGAATAAGTTTCTATACATAGAACTTATTAAAAGGTATTATAACTCTTCTCTAGTAAGTTATTTTATAGATACTAGAACTCATAAGTTACTCATAAGAAAATACTTCTGACTGAAGATACAAGAACTTATGAAGAAGATAGTGAATTCTTATACTATTTATCAGAGTTCACAGATAGTGCAGTTCAGATTATATAAAAAACTTACTTCTCTACTCATTCTATAAGAACCTTGAAAACAGCTAGAAATAAATGTTCTTATAAGTCTCTCTGAAAGTAAGAATATATATAATATCTGTTTTAACAGTGTGCTGATGATAGTGAATCACTTCATCAAGATAACATACTTTATACTCACTTACAAGAACTTGAAGTTAAAAGATTTAACTTATATCTTCATTTATAATGTGATTTAGTTGCATGAATTGTCTGTGAATATTATCTCAGATAGAGAATCAATCTTCATAGAAGAGTTCTAATCTGATCTGATAACTATACTGAAGATTTTATAAGATCTAAGCACAGCTTTTTATCAACAGATAGATGATCAGACAGAATATCTGATGAGTATATTAAAACAGTATCTGTGATACTTTATTAATTACAATCAGAATGACTGAGTACATTGATTATTACTTACAGAGTTCATATATAATAACTTAAAGTATATCAGTATAGATAAAACTCTCTTTGAGATACTCACTGAGACTTATCTGTGAATAATCTTAATAAACCTGTGAGAGTACACTATAGAGTGTGATAATGTCTGTGAACAGACTAAGAGAATTCAGAAGATCTGAAAGAAAGTCTGTAAATTCTTGAGAAAGACTTAAGAGTATCAGAAGAGATACTATAACTCTAAGTATATTATAAAGAGTTTTAAGAAAGATGATAGAGTCTGACTAAGTCTAGAAAATATTATTATATAAAGATCTAGTAAGAAGCTGAATCTCTTACAGACAGAGTCTTATAAGATTATAAAGAAAGTTAGTTCACAGTTCTATAGATTAAAACTGTTATCTGAGTTATAGATATATAATATTTTTCATGTCTCTTTACTTTATAAATATAAGAAATTCTCAGAAGAGAATTCTATGACTCATCACTCTGTCTATAAAGCACTAGAGAGTGAAAGAGAATATTAGATTAAAGAGATTATTAACTCAGAGAAGTAAGATTATAAGCTCTGATTCAAGGTTCAGTGATAAGAATATTCTGATAAGCTGAATAAGTTCACTTAAGAATTATTCAGATAAATAAGATATCTGCAGAAGCTGAGACATGACTTTTATACTGTAAATTCTGATAAGTCAGAATGACACAGTCTTCACTAAGAATCTGATTATAATAAAGATATTAATACTATCATTTATAAATTCTAGTCTATAAGATAATGAGTTTCTACTGAGATGAACAGTCTGCAGTATATATAAGAGAAGAAGAAATCATATTCTTATTAAAGTTAAAAAATAAGAAAATAAACAGAGCTGCAAACACAATTTGAAGATCAATAAAGAAAAAATAGAGAAAATTTAAACTCACATTCTTATCATCTGTGACACTTAATTCTCTTATAACTATCAATTTTTCTCTTCAAAGAAGCAGAGAGTATCATACTTATAATACAGACAATTATTACATTTGATGTGAAGGCTGTCAGAAATACACAGACTTCAGAGAAGTCAGATATCAGAGTATATACAGTTGTAGCAGAATCTTGAGAACTGACTGTCTATATATGTAATCAGATATCTCTTACAAAACTGTGTTCACTCTCTCAGTTATGCTGAAGTATTCAGCTCAGAAATAATTGAGATATAGAGAGAGAGCTCATCTGTTCAGATCAACTCTCATTACAAATTCATAGTATTCACATTATCTTAATTATCTGAATTTTATGAGTATTCAGAGACTCATCTCTCATTGACAATAAAATTACAGAAATGCACTGTGGTGTGAGAATCATTGATAGAAAACCTAGACATATTTTCATATATCTGATCAGAGATTGTATAAGTAGAAAGAAGATAATCATAGATCTGCAAGATCACAGAAGACACTGATAATACTGAGAGCTTTATAAGAACTGTTAGCTAGAATCTGTAAGAAATTACTTATAAGAAGACTTACAGTAAAGAGAGAGACTATACTACTTAAAGTCAGAAACTGGTCTGAGAGAGAGATGAAGTGAGCTGCTGGCCTGAAGATCAGATGCAGTGACAGAACTGAAGAAAGTGAAGATACAGTTATAAGCAGCAGTGTCTCTGCTTCATCAGCTGATAAAAAGTAATCAGAGAAGTCACAGAGATGCTCATAAGAAGCTCAGCAGCAGTCAGACATTATTTACAAAGATATTGAAATTGAAAATTTTTTATTCTTGAGAAGTTCTTGAATTAATATACAGATATTATCAGAAGCACTCTCTCTCTATCATCTGAATAAAAACACTTTACAGATAAATGAGAATACTCATAGTTTATAAGAATAAGAGCTGTTATAGAAAAAGAGAAAAAAAAAATGAGATTTTATAAACAAATCTGAGATATTTATACTACTCTAGAGAGGTTTATTTACACTGTGAGTAATCTCACAGAACAGTCAGATCTATATAACTATAAAGAGTGATTGCAGATTATAGATATCTTGATTCTACAATTCTACAGAGTTAGTAAAAGAATGAAAAATTCCTCATAATTCTACAGTATCAAAGAACAATGATTTACAAGAATAAGTGAAAGATTAACTTATAAATGCTTCTCTTTAATAAAAGTGATCTCACAGAGAGTGATTCATCTGTAAGATGAATCTGTGTAATAGTTATATAAGAATCTTATAAAAATAATTGAGAGTCAATTAGAACTCTTCTATATGAAAGATGTGAGATAAATCTGTATGATAGTTAGAGAAGAATCTGTAAATTATAAAGAATCTCATGAAATAAGAAACTGAGTAACAGACTCTTTTTTCTTCATAGTAATAAGAGATTTTTCCTCACTGAGATTTTTTATAGATATGAAGAGTTTTTAGTGAGTATCACTGCAGTGCTGAGCTGATTTTATAAAGTCACTCAGTGAAAGACTTTGTGAATGAAGTCTTAGAGAGAAGAGAGTATATAAGAAATCTCACTTCTCATGAATTCTTTATCTCTATTTCTATCTCTTATATAATCAATAGAGCTAGTGACTCTTGACTATACATAACTATATAGACTGAAGTTCATAAATACTATTCATAACTCAGCTTGAATACTATTATACATTTAATCTCTACATTTTATCTTTCTACTGTGAATACTTCTAGTAGTTAACAGTACATATCACGCCAAGCTGCAAACACCTGAATAATCACCTGCGAGTACTTATTCTTACATTTATTCAGATAACTCAAAAAATGAGAATTTAAATAGATTAGATGCAGACATTGCTTATACTGAAGATAATATCAATTTTATCTCAGATTTCTGAAATCTAGACTGTGAATCTGAAGTCTTTGATACTGAACTATTTATAATAGTGAAAGCTTTCAAACTCATTGAAATAAAATCTTATAAAAGAGAAAATTGTTTAAAAGAGATATAAATATTCTCTGATAGTTAAGCTACTTTAAAAAGACTTAGAAATAGTCAGATTTATAATAATTAAATGAATCTTGAACTGATCTTAAACTCTGTTTTGAAAATTCAAAAGAGAAGAATATCAAAGCTGATAATTTATCTGCACTGAGTTTCTACTTATATAAATATTCATGATAATGAATTGACTGATTCAGCTGTAAAAAAGAGTACAGAATTAAGCAGATCTATTCAAAAAATTATATTCTAATCTTTTATAAAGAGAAAAATAAAAGAATCTTATTTAGATAAGTGAAATGAAAGCTGGCAGAAATAAAAGAAGAGTATATATTATTCAAGATTTGAAATAAAACTCAAGTGAAAATCTTGTTTAATTAAATATAAAAAGAAAATATTCTCATCTATAATACAGCTGAAACTAGAACATAGCTATTTCAAATCTTATATATAAAGATTTGATAATAGATTTGACTCAATAGAATGCTCATTCTGCAATATAAATAAGAATTCTGAGTATATTGTAATACACTGTGTATTATACAATAGTCTCAGAGTCAGATTGAAAGAGAAGTATGATCTAAATCAATTAAATATGAGATTCTTATTCTCAACTGAGACAGGAATTAAATACTTAATAGACTTTCTATCAGAAACTCAAGCAGCTATAAGAAAATAACTAAATTCAGAATTATCTGAATATGAAGAGGAGGAAATCAACCAGATATAGTCTGTTAAAACAGCTATATACTATCTTTTAATAATTTATTTTTTTTTATTTTTTTTTTATTTTTTTATTACAGTCTTTCTTTACTTTATCTTTTTCTTTTAATTTCTTTCTGTCTATCTATTTAATGTGTCTATCTTTAAGACTGTGTTCTCTTTTCCTTTGTCATGATATTGTCAAATGATTTCAAAGTATCAGAAGATGTTAAAACACTGTAATTTATAAACAGTTTTTGTATTCTGAGCTGGAATTTTCTGATTTTATATATCTGAAATTGATGAATGTATAATAGTTAACTTTACAGATATAGGAAGAACCCTGAGAACTAAAAGTTCTCAGATAGATATTATAGTCTCTGACTGCATACATCTATAATTGAAGAATAATAATAATAATAACTTATAAGTTAATTAAAATACTTTTACTTTATTACTAACACTACTTAAATTATAATACATAACAACTTGAAAAATGTATAAGTAATATATGCTATAATAAGTATTTTAAAGGAGCAACTAAGCAGAATGTTTGCATCTAGAAAAGTGGGTTCAAAGTTAGCATTACAATCAACTGCTTTGGCACCATGTTCAAGTGCATGCCCTGTATCTCCATTCTGAGACACTAGTCAGTCATTAGTCCCTTGTTTCAAGTCTCTCCTTTCTTCCTTTCTTTGCGTTCTTTGCTCTCTTGTGAAATTTTCCCCTATCCCTTCGCTAGGCCCTGCCAGGGTCCGTGGTTTTCGCCCTCCCACCGGCCAGATCAAGACTTGTGCTACTTGTCGACCCGGTTAGTGTGCACGCTGCTCCCGTCCAGTCAGTCCCTTTTCTCTCGAGACATTGCTTGACTCCGCCAACTCTCCTGCTCCCGCTCGTTTTGCGTCTTCCTCTCGCTCTTCGCTCTGCTATTGCTAGTGCTGCAGTTACTGCTCCCATATCGCTTTCTGCGTTCCCTCCATAGGGCCTTGTCCTTTCCAATGCAGCTCCCGTCATGTCTCTCAATGGGTTAGATGATCCCGCTGTCATCGAGTCCTACCAGTCTGCCCTCGCTGAAGCTGGTGGATGGTGAGTTCAATCTCCTATTTTCTTCGTTTGCTTGCTCGACTCTGGGGGTCCGATTACCGTTCTCATCCTCTCTGTTCGTCCCTCGAGAGCTGGGATCCAATTCGGTCGTATTTGTGCATGGGTTATATTCATCATCCTGCAACACTCATTGTTAAATAACCCTGCGCTTCGGGAATGATTTGCGCTAATTATACCTTTGCCTTTTTCTTTTTAGGTTTCTGGTCAAATATGTCAGTCGGGATACTGTCGCCCTCCTTGCCCGTGGATCGGGGGGAGTGACCGAGATCAGAATCACCATCGATGGCTACGAGGAAACCTCTCCTCTCTACGGCTTTCTACAGTATCGCAGGAGGAAAATAATATTGAAATATGTCCCCGAGGGAATTTCAAGGTTGATTCAAGGTACTATCCCTCTTAGAAACCGAGGTTTGTTTTCTTTATAATTCCGATGATCAAGAATCTAAAGATCACGGCGTCTCCTACAGCTCGAATCACGGTTCAATTCCAATCGATACTGGACAAGTTCTCCCCCCATGATACTGTCTTCTCCCTAGCCCTCTCGTCGGAGTTGACAGAGAGTGCACTCTCCTCCGCCTGCCTGCTCCATACTGCGTCCAGTTCCATGACATCGTCGTCAAGCTCCCTTCGTCGTCGCAGATTGGGTGAAATTACTGAGGATGCTGAGGAATGTGCGAGCCCTCGTGAAGAAACATATGGGCAGTTCGACAACGGTTATGGAAATCGAAGGGAAAGCGTTTTCAGTGGGACGTCGGATGCAACCGCTGTACCCAGTCACCACCAGCGGGGTCAAGGATCGGTCGATACTTCCGGAACGGATCTCTCAAGGCCTCCACAATCTGACCGTTCCGAATCCACAGCTGAGAAATCTTTACCCGCTGTGCCCCGAAATCGCACCGAGAGCCAGTCAAGTGGCCATGCGCAGAGGCATTTCCTAGACTCCCTTGATCGCTCTCCTACTGATTCGCGCAAATCTTCTCAGTCCACTAGACCATCACTGAGAGATTTGGATTCAATAAGCATGTATCGCCCAAAGGTTAAGTTAGGGCCCCGGCCCTCAATGGACCCAAGTGGGCGACCACGGACCGCAGGATCGATAGGGAGATCTAGCGATACTCGCCCAGTAGCCTCACTACCTGCAGGTGTACGAACGTCAGCCCGAAAGAACAGTCCCTCCGGGGGGCGTCCCAAATCCCAACCTGACATCCCGGTCCCACGTCTTCCACCATCAATGGCTCCGCCTGTACCCCACTTATTAATTCCACCTCCCCCGCTTAACCTTGGCCCAATGTCCAGACATTCTCCGGGTTCCCCCAGATCAGTAATGAGCGTGCCAAGCTCACTCTCCATAACACCCGAAAAACAGAGATTAATGCGGGCGCTGGAATTACGAAAAAGGCAAATGGAGAAACGTGTGGAGGAGACTGAAAAGAAAAATGATGAGCTTAGTAGTGAATCGAAGCAAGTAGTGAAGAAATTGGAGGTTGAGGGAAACAAAGAAAATATTGAGATTGTCCAAATGGAAGTGGCTGCGAAACCACAACAGACTGAAGTTGCCTCATTTGAATCGGATGCGTTGGCTCCACTACAACTCACTCCCAGATCCCAAGAGCCGCAACACCCGCCGTCTATATATCCTGTTCAGGAACAGAAACAGACACCCCCGTCGCCGGATCCTTCGAATCCAGACTCAGCTGTAGATGTCTGCACAGTGGAACCCAAAAACATTGAATCCGCATCTTCCTCCACATCTGTTAAGAGTATTGTGTCGTCGGAAGTAGAGGAACAACATTCCTCCCCAACGATCTCCGTTACCAGTCCAGACGCCTCAAAACACGGTGAGGAAGATGAGGCTTGTGAGGCGTCGGAACCTAGTCAGGCTAATCCACAAATTGTGGAGACCGATACCACAATTGACACACAACAACAAACACAGAATAATGACGCGAGTGAATCAACACAAGATACCCAGCCATCGGATTCTCCAACAGATGATCTTATAGTCTCTATAATTGAAGTCCCATCTGGCGTCTCTTCCCCGAATGCCACTCCCAGAGCAATCCCAAGAGATTGTCAAGCTGCGCCGCCTCAAACAGCAGAAATGACACCTACAGACATACCCCAGGAACCTTTACAATCTAACAACATCCCTGTAGCATCGCCCATCTCGCAGAAGCTCATAGAATGTCTCCCCGTGGAATCAATATCCGCCGCTGGTGATAGTGATGTGCCCAAATCAGGCAAATCCTCTTCTGAGACAGAGCCATCTGAAGCTAACAATCTCAAGAGCAAGCACAAAGGGCCCGTGGACCCTATCCATATTGTAACGCAATTCGATCAATCGGACGAAGACAATCTCTTGTCCGATGATTCTTTTATGGAGGAATTGGGAAGTGCTACATTTCAAGAAGCCAAGCCCATCGCAGTCCCGAAGACCCCGACTGCGTTCGCCAAAAATGGAGATTTGGACCCAGCCGCGGATTGGAAGAAATCTAGAGTATTCTCTAACCCGCCTAATGCAAGAAATACTGGACCCGATGTGCAAGCACTCCCAATTGGCAGATCTCCTTCTGGATCTTTTCTCGAAAGCCAAAAAGCAGTCCCTGTACTTGTTGCTAAAAAAGTGAACGTCTCCTCCGGAATCTCAAAACGAATCAAGGCCTTGGAAATGTTTTCCAGCCGCGAAGGCCCAACACCTACGGTGCCGCAGCCTCCCCCGCCAACAAGTGCGGCGTCATCCCCTTTTGAAAAATTCCGCAAACGGGCCTCTATGTCACAGACTAGCCTACCCCCTGCTTCCACGCTCAGAAGCAAGTCTCCTTCCTATTCCCCATCACCTTCACCTTCAGAAAGGCGTGCTTTATCTCCCAATCCTTCAAAACGGGCCGACAGCCAAACAACAAACACCCAGTCCCGAGGAAAGTCGAATTCAGTCTCTGTGACAGCCCGCATCATTCGGGATCCAGCTGCTCCACCCAATGAACCTCCAGCTAACCCTTCGGAACCCACCGTCCTTAATCTGCAGCGCAGCCCCATTATTGTTGAGAGCGATACCCCCCAATTATCTCCTCGTCCTTCCACTTCAGCGGCAACCCGTCCAGAGAAACGCAGTCTATCTACTTCTTCTAGCACTGGGTCAGGGCGCTTATCTACCTCCCAAGGTATCCCTCGCTCCGATTCTACGCCGAGCAAGATCTCCGCCTCATCTCGGTCTAGACATGAAGCACATGGTCCACATCCCTCACCTGACGTATCGCACAGTCCCCTGAACCGTGTTGATGAGTCAAAGGAAGAGAAGAGGGAGTCTAGAAAATCGCGCATTATTCGCCGCATGTCATCTATCACTTCAAATTCTCGACGGGGTCTAATAAATGCTCTAAGCCCGACCTTGAAAGAGGAAGAATCACAGCTGGCCTCTTTAAACGATGAAAGCAGTACCCCTGAGCCTCCTCAGATGGTTGATATTGGCGAGGTCAACGTGCAATTTCCCGACACTCTTCTGTGGAAACGGAGGTTCATGCGCATCGATGACCAAGGCTATCTTATTCTCACTCCTGGTACCATCGACGGGACTGCTCGAAATCTCGTCAAGAGATACCATCTTTCAGAATTCCGGCCCCCATTTTTGCCGGATCAAGATAGGCAGGAACTCCCAAACAGCATCGTGCTTGATTTCCTGGACGGGAGCACCTTACAGTGTGCATGCGAGTCAAGACAGGGACAAAGTGGTATCCTTCAAGGTAAAACTTCTCTCATTTCATTCTCTTCCTAGGAGCTTTGCATGCTGACGGACTTTTATACAGTACTTCTAGAAGCCCACCGGGCTTACGAGCACGTTTTCCCTCAGCAATAATCGAGATGATCGCCCACTGAGCTGAAATTAGACAACACTCGCGCATCCTCTCATAGCACCTAATTTCCCCTGCCGGTATCCCACAGCTACCTAGAAACAACATCCTTCGATTTATTTCGTTTGTAGAGGCGACTTTCTCTCGCATTCCATACACCAACCTCGAACAGTCGTTTTAAAACTCTTTCTTTTATCCTTTATTTTCATTTGTTTCTATTTGGGTGACAAAACATTGCCTAGGAAAGATCTACTTGTTTCTCTTTCTCTCTCTTTCTCTTCTGTAATATTTCATGATTTCTACGATATTATGATATTTCATTTTGGCCTTTCAACAACCACCACGCCGCCTGGTCAACCCCTCCCGATAAGTTGACCTACCGATAATGCGTAATATTTAGTCTCCTTCTCTAATTGCGCCCACCAGCACTGTCAACTCGCGAGACCCGGAGCCTCGTTCCCTGGGGTAGATAGTCTGCCACTTGTGGAGGACGATATTTGTTGCCAAGGAATAAGCCTAATCAGCACTCCCCTTTCACCAGAACCCGGTGGACATGCGCTTGGATTGTGCGAGTATTGGTCGACCATTGGCCGGAAAGAACAATATCATCTTCTTTGCTGTCGTTTCACGGACGACATCCTCACCGGAAGACTTCGCTGAATGGGCGAGATGAGCCATACGTTCTGTTGTATGGTTTCTGAGGGGCTACTAGCTCGTGCAGTCTTCGCTTTCTCGCACGGGGCATATAAAAAAATACTTCACCCTTCATATCTATCGTCGACAGTGGAATTTGTATTTTGGCGGAAGTAACGCTGGCCTCTTTCTCCTTTTCTATTTTTCTCTTTTGTCCCGTCATTTTCTTTTTTCCCCTATTTTTGCATCTTAATTGTGGTTGTTGGCATGTCGCAAATATATACCCCGCCCCTCCCCCACCCTGATTCTCTGAAAAGCATTTTCACACTGCCCTTATTCTCCTTCCTGTTGCCCTCCACCCCTTTTCTTTATTTACACGCATTATCAATCACTCGCTTTTGATATTTCCCTCTCCTTTCTTCATTACTTTTCTATCTAGGTACTCGCCTTCCTTTCTCGTCCTCCACTTCTTGCTTGTGTTGGTTTTTAATTATTATCCCTGTTCCATGTCTTGATTTCTCTCGCAGGAGTATCTAGTTTTTCCTCTTTCCCCTTGTTCTAGCCTCTTTCCATTCGAACCCCACACTACCCATTGTCGTTTTTTCCCCTTACCAACACTCTTTGGTTGTTTCCCGGTTCTAGCTGTGTCTCTTTTGTTTTGGTACCCTTCAATTCCAGATGTTCCACTATTTTATTTGCCTTCTTTGATAACTTTTCTTCACCTCTTTTGACGGATCCCTTTTCCCTCTTCCTTCTTTCTTCTTTCTCTTTGGTTTTCACTTCATGCCCACCTTTCCATCTCCTTTTTGCGTCGATTGATATAACCTCTTAGTTTTCGATTTTGCATTTCTCCCTTTTCGTTTTTCGTTCTCCATCGTTTCCATTTTTACCATTTTACAAACTTATTCTTCAATTTCTATTGTTATATTAGCTTCCCAGTCGCATATTCCACCACTTAACTGGTACTATCTAACAATACATCCCCCTCCATCTTTTTTCTTCTCCATAGCTGAACCCCTTACTTTCATTTCACCTTGGAAGCCATCGGCTAGTTACCATGCCCGCCATAGAATTCCCCCGTAGGAAGTGACCCATCCTGGGTTTTAGTACCCGGCTGCAAAGAGATGGAGATTTTAAATTTGGACGATATATTGTTTAATCTGTAAATTAGCGCAATTCTACGGTGGCCAGATTCGACATTTCTTCTCTACTCCGTTCTTCCTTCTCGGCATCTGATTTTAGAATGATAAAAAGAGATAATTGTTAACAATCGGGGGAAATATACTTATTCCACATCAGAAGAAGTGGGGAAAAGTTCACGCATATTTGTACATACAATGTCTATATCAACAGGAAGTAAAAATGGAGAAAGTTTTTACCAAGCCAGCGCTCCGAGACACCCCTAGATTATGAAGGGGGGTAAGGTCCCGGGAACGTAGTAAAAACCCTTGATAAAGCAAACAGTCATTCAATCACTTCGAGTTTCCTCTTCTACATCAACCACCTCTCTCTACCTCTCCTCCTCATTAGAACCCTCCTTCCTACCCTCGCTTGCGCCATTCCCCTTCTTCTCCCCATACCTCTCTCCATTCCTCTCCGCCCACTCATCCAAAAAGCCTTGTAACTTGGGGCCCCACACCTCCTCCCCCGCCTCCAAATCGCTATACTCCAACACCTTCTCCGGCTCGAGTGTGAAATCGCCTTGGCGCGTGCGCACCAGCAATGACATCATCGCGTTGCTGCCTAGGGCCAAACCGAGGTCGTGGGCGAGGGAGCGGACGTAGAAGCCGGATGAGACAGTCATGGTGAGCCTTACTGCGGGGGGTTGAGGAGGTGGTGTGGAAGTGGAAGTGGAAGTGGAAGCGGTCGAGGCGGCATTGGATGCAGTGGGGTCAGCGGCGGGCGAAGGGTCTCGGGTAATGGAGGCGTCGACGGTGTTATCGGTGGTGGGCTTTTGGCGTTTCGGTGACGGAGGTGTTTTTTCTTCTGCTTCTGGCGCTGGAGGTGTGGAGAGCTTTCTCTTGATACCTTGTGATTCCCCCTCTGGCTGTGCGGTGGTATTCTGCTGTGCTTGTCCTTCGGCAGTAGGAGGGGTGGGAGCAGACGTTGTCGTATCAGTAGTCGGGAGCGCAGATGATGTTGGGCTTTTAGACAACATCTTCTGCGCGACAGATTTCTCCGTGCTACTCGCCTCTTCCGTCGGCCAGGCATAATCATGCGTGCCACCTTCATACCAATCCAGGATCTCCAAATTCGTCACTTCAACAGGCCTCTTCAAAATTTCCACAGGTGGCTCAAGCCCCTCCCGCGCATACTCATACAATTTCTTCCCCTGTACCTTCAGCGCTGAAAATATCGACGGCCGCTGCATGATCTTGCCTCTGAAACCCTCCAGCGCCTTCTCCACCTTTTCGCGCGTAATATGCCCGTACGGCGCCCGACTCACCACCTTACCGACACGGTCGTACGTATCCGTCGCAGCGCCAAATAGTACCACAGTCTCGTATGACTTGGTGCACGCCAAGAAGTTATTCAGTTCCTTTGTGCCTTTGCCGACACCTGTGATTAGTACACCCGTCGCCATGGGGTCAAGGGTTCCCCCGTGCCCCAGTTTAACCTGTAGACGCTTGTCGCGCCATCTGCGGCCTTGGCGTTTGTTCCCTGCATGTCGCCGGCTGCGCTCAGTTTCGATCCATGGCTGGAAGAACTGAGAGGGAGTGAAGTGCTGTTGTAGGTTGCGGAGAACTTCGGCGGAGGATATGCCAGGGGGTTTATGAACGGCTGCATTTGAAGTAGGTGAGAGTTAGTCTAAAAGTTTCGTTCGAGCGGCAGAGAATATGCTCGACGAACCGAAAACGCCTTCTATATTTCGGTTGTGATTCATTATAGCTGAGAAACCTCTGGTGTGGAAGTGAAAGCGGATGGTCATGAAGGGGGAATTTTTGTTCGCGGCCGAAGGGGGGAAGAGGGAGGAAAAGGTGAAATTCTGAACGCGGGGTTGACGTCGGGATAATAGATTTCGCGGTCAAAGCTATTATAAATAGTAACTACTCATTGTGCAAAAAAAGGTGAAGATGAGAGAACAGGACCCTGAAGCGGGCGGAGAGAAATATTTTATAAGATCTGAAGCTGCGATTACATCAAAACGCGGGTGTATTTCAAATACCGTTCCGCTGCGAATCGTACCGTACTGTAAAATACCAGTATAGAAGCTGCTTGCTCTCTGCCGCATTACCTTCCCCGATCTATCCTCAACATGCGCGATATCCATCGACTTGATCTCATAGTTATACATCAAGGCATCATGATGTTTTTGGAGATATGACAACGCGAATCGAGAATGTCCTTGCTGCTAGAAACGCTTCCCTTAACGATGAGAATGACTGGGAGGAGTTTGCCCTGACGGACGTTAAGGTTCTTGTACCTGGCAAGACGCGATATGCGAACGTCTTGTCTGCTTCGGCAGACAATCCTGTCCGTGTCACAGGCCAGCTGGAAGTGGTAGAAAAAGAGCAGGAAGAGCTTGGTAGGAGAATAATACGTCTGTCGTCGAGTTCGCTTTGTGATGGTTGTCCTAACTCAGCCTTCCATTTCAACAGTTCTTGATGATTCCTATCGAAACAAACGAGTCCTCATTGATAATGTCACGCACTACGCCTACGGTCAGCATGACGATGGCGAGATCGGCTTATGGGTTGCGGGCGCGGCAGGCTGGTTCTCCATCGCGCCCGCCAGAGGATACAAACCGATGTTCAACGAGATGGTCGAAGCCATTGACCTCCTATATTTCCTTGCGGACCAGCACCAAAAGAGCAGGCGGCGGGGTAGAAAATGGAATCCAAAAGTAAATTATCTATTTGATGAGGTTCGTCTAGAAAATATCTTGGTTGACGACGTTGCGGGGTTGAATGGTGCAGAGCGCTTACTCTTCACCCCTCTCTCGATAGTACACGAAACATACCAATGGGGCGTGCGAGGATGCGGAGGACTCAGCGGAGGTGTTCTACAAGCACCATGAGTTCCTTATCAACCGAATGGTCCAGGGTAAGGAGAATGTGGATTGGGCTTCGACTCCCATTTATGCTCATCTACGGGAGTTGTATTTGGTATGACACCCTGTAACAGGTCTCTCCTTATGAAAATTGGCTTCGCAGAAAATTCCGAGATCTAACCTGGTTTCAAGGATGTATTCGAGCGGGCAGAGGCGGCTGCGAATGAAACCCAAGAAGAGGTTGAATCTGACGAAGAATCAGAGGTTTCTCCCGATGCCGTGGACGTGGGGAGAGCCCAGGCTGACACGATATTTGAGGTTGTTTTGGACATGAAAGAGTCGGGGCTACTCTCTAAACGGCGACTTAATGTTACGACTGTTGCGGAGACGCTTTTGAAACGATATGAAATGAGCTCTTTGGATTATGCTCTGGATTTGATTCGTGCGAGAGCTGGTTTGCTTACAGAGATGATGGACAACGCACAAACGGCGACTTTTGACTGGTCTTCAAAAGCCATATATCGACAGCTAAAAGAGCTAGAGAGTTCAGGATGCTTGAAAGGTATTAGCGACACCCCGCTACACCCCAGGGCACGAAGGGAGGGCGGTTCTTCGTCTCCCTTGGCGGAAGAAAGCGAAGATGATGATGAAATTCCTGTTCCGAAGGGGCGAAGGCGTAAGGTACGAAAATCCCTGCTCCGCCCGAAGATGAGCTCGGTTTCGGTCAAGGCGGCTGGTAAACGCAATCGACAAACAGAAATTGGGAATACAGATTCTGAGGATGAATTTAACGAGCCTCCGGAATCGGATGATACGCCTTCAAAGAGCCGCGGCCACCGCCTGGTTCATGACCCATTCTCGTCAAGGGTGAATGAAAGCACCCGCTCGATAGTTTCTGGATCAGACGTCGCTTCAGTAAGGAAAACACCGATGCAAGAGGTCTTCGAGGGCTTGATGACGGCCAGCCCAACCATCAATAACAACAGCGAAAACATAAATCAAGCGACAGAGCCCCCTGATCTCGCTGATTTACCTGCGGATACATGGATTTGTTCGGTCCAGGGATGCGGCAAAACTATATACAAAGCCAGTTCGAAACGGTCGAAAGAAGCTATTCTCGACCACTCCCTCGTCCATGCTGAAGACACTCAAGCCAAGCTGAACCTTGTATTCGCAGAACAGCGCCATAATGTCAACGCCTCTGTTAGCCATCTAGTCAGTCGCATTCGTGATTTCGGCTCCCATCAGGAATCAGCGGGAACATCTGATGAGGCTCCGTCCCTGCAGCGAACTCAGCACCCGGAGGTAGCGTAAAGGGTTAAGGTGCGTCATTTTCCATAAAGCCCAAATTAAATTAGCTAACTTCCTGGTAGATTGTTTACCTACCTTTTGTAGTAAAGGTGGCGAAGAATTTAGCCATGAAGACGCCTCACACCGTGTATGCGGAATAATATATCCCTGGGTAGGGAGTCATTACGATATCCATTCTCAACGTTTTCCACGTGGTGATTTTCACTTCAAAATACCCATTGTACAGTACATATATATATATATGATATATGTATTTTTATATTCCATCAGGCGATACCACATGGCATGATTCTGGAAGGCAACTTTTTTGGTGTTATTGGATCCCTATAACTTTAGTGATGAGTAACGAAGAATTTACGACCTATTAACAACTTTTAAGTGTGATCCAGCCTTGCCCTTCAAATTGACTGACATGGCTGCAAATGGAGGATTCTATAGGATAGCCCTTGGTGTTCTTGCAGTGTATAGGCAGATACATAACTTGCCCTGAATCCCTATTCCTTCATAACGAGGAAAGACTTAGCGACAGCTTTGATAAACAAATCAATTCTATAGAATTTAGGGCGGGAATATAAACCCATCCGCTCCCTAGCATACAGAAATGAAATGAGAAAATATCACAAACGTTTGCAATTATATGTGCTCCCGAATGCCGCACTCTCAAGTCCTCTTGAAGGTTGCCCTTCTGCTCTTCCCCGGCCTCTGCGCGCCTCCTTTTTTTTGTCCTTTCATCTTACCCACTGAAAACCCGCTCAAATCGCCGCTGGACATCGCATCTCCACTCTTCGCGAATCGCTTCTTGCCCCCAAACCCAAACTTCTGATCCTTCTTTTGTCGCTTGCTTTGAGCACCCGGACCGTTGCGGCCACCCTTATTGGCTCCACCCCGTGAATGGGATTTGCCTTCGTCTTCTAGGGTAACGTCGAAAAGGTCTGACTCTTCAGTGGGAGCCCCATCACTCGCTTTGCGTTCTGCAAGGAGAGTAAAGGTATATATGTTAGGTTTGCAAATTTTACAAAGAGAAATGTAGAGTAATACGATTGGACAGCAGAAGTTGAGAACTTACTCCGCTTCAGACTATTGATCTTATCCAGCGTCTCCCGCTTCTCTTTCTGTCTCTGTTGTAGCTTGGCAACCTGGACTTGTTTTCCGAACTTTTTAAGATCTCGCTGTCGTTTAGCTTCCGCGCTTGCCTTCTTCGCCGCAGCTTCGTCGAACAATTTCTTCTTCACTCGGCCCATATGCTCATCAGACTTGACCATTTCGGCAAAGTAATCTGTCGGTCGTGAAAAGGGTATCCCTTCCTTCTTCAATTGATCTCTCGCGGATTTCGCGGCGGAAACGCAAACAGTGTAGAAAGCCAATTCACGTGTAAGATCATCGTTGGGATCTGGGACATCGATGGGTTCTGTTGATGTAAGGCTGTTGTGTTCTGAGAATGGAGTCTGAGGCGTGAGAAACGAGATGCGCTTGAGCGAAGAGAGGATGGCGGCGGAATTGTTGATAGTGAGGCGTTGGTGCGGTATTACGTCTGTGGCATCTTCCTCTGAAAGCTCTGATAAGGGAATGTCCTCTTCCTCTTCATCCTCGTCCCCATGTTCATCTTGCTCTTCTTCCTGATCCGTCCGTCGCTCCTCTTTAGCTTGGCTCGTAGGAGTGGGTTTTTCGTCTTCTCTATCTCCGGTACCATTTTGCTTTAGAGAAGTGGGATCCTAACCAGTCAAATGTCAGTAGTGTAAAAGCGGCATTCAATGGTCTCCCGGACACATACAGTTTGTTTAGTTTCTTGCTCCTCATTATCATTCAGGGTATCTTTAGAATCTCCCGCCGGTGCTCTTTTTCTCCTCTCTGCAGCCTTCTGCAACTTTTTCTGTCGCTCTAACTCATAATTGCGTCCTTTATGGGCATCTAGCGCCGATAGCAACTTACTCTTTTTCACCATTGTGAATATGCGAAGGGTATAATGCCGAGAGCAAGAAACTGGTAAGATGGTACTTGGTGTATTTCTCTTTCAACGGGCGGCCAAAGCGAAATAAGCTTGGAGAATTTTTTGGGATAACGCCTGCCCATATGTGGCTAGCGGTTTGAGCATTCGGCTCCAACAACCTTGCCGTATATAGATTAGCGTTGAACAGCAGATATCTTATCAACACGTGACACAAAGTTGCACCTTTCCTAATTAGGGTATCCTACTTTCAGGCATCATCTTGCCTTGAGATTCTGTTTCGTCTCCATTTCACCGTCATTATTCATTTAGGTCTTAAGGTCCCCGCAGGTCCTGTAAATCACGAGGATTACCCAAAAGAATTCTCTGAAGCTGTTTAGTTCCTCCCAGGGCCACCAAGCCTCAACTTGCCCTGATGAATCAGACAATGGCCCAGCTATGCCCGATATACTACTCCTGGCCCCTGAGAAAACGTTGAACGGCCACATTTTGACCACGTCGGGCAGGAAACTGTGTTGTAAACACGGCTGCCAAGTTCATGTTGGTCACGTGGAAGATCTATCTCCTCTTCAGTCCTTAGCCTTTCCCCAAAAAGGTTCGGAACAATCCAACCATGAACTCTCTGCAACAGACAATTTGGGTACAGCATCGCCGCTCTCGGGGTTGGTCTTGTTTGCGCATGAAAATCCGATCGTGGCTGGATTTGCCGATGATGTGATGTCACTGGGAAACAGACCCTTCCCTCAATTTTACTTGATACCTTTGGGTCTGTGGTTACTTGAATCCCCCCCCCCTCCCACGGCCACTGTTCCAGATCTGCTGGGTGTACCAGATGCTCGTACCGTTCCCCGGCAGAAATGCAGTCCAACATAGGCAGATGCCAAGACGGAAATGGCGTCTACTTCTAGCATGAGGTATGGAACTGAGCTACCCCTCTATTTACAAGAGAACTGCAGATGTGCCCCGATTCCTGTCCCAATTACTATGTCATTAAAAAAGGCCAAATTACTCTTGACAGCAATTATGTCAAGAAACGACTCTTCGAATTCAAGGGACTCAAACCAAAACCCGATCGTCTGGTTCGGAAAAAGCCCAATGGACGGTTAGGAAAGCTGTGTTTCACTGCCGAGCACATCATTTCATCAATCGCCTAGCACGAACAACGCATGTCATCATGTCAACGGGGAATGCTGGCGCCCATCACATGATACGAGATCCCGTTGGAAGCCTTTCTTCAAGAGATATACGCAATTGGGTAGAGGAAGGAGCATACATGACACACATCGGTGTGCCTATCTCCTGTGCGGACGGATCTACTCTGTCGTAACTACCAAACACCGTTGGAACGCTCCATTGGAGCCCAAATTGGTCAAGAATATTACCCGTGAATCCCCATATAATCATATATATTGACTTCGGCCTTCTTGGCCATGTCTCAAAGAGACCTTTACTCCATTCAATATTGTTACTCGCCGCCTGCTGATAGAGCAGAAGTCAGACCATCATCAGTCTCGACACATCTTATGCTTGCTTTTTTATCACACATTGGGAGAGATTTGTGTTAATCGTACCTATTTTTCGCCAACATCCATAAAAATATGACACCCAATAAATTTCATCACAGCTCCGCCGCTCCTGGGGACATTCCGCCTTTGTAACCTGCACGGGTGATTGGCCAGGTGAGTCACTTGAAGAGGAAAAAAAAAAAAAAAAAAAAAAGAACTTTGGTTCCTTTGACTCGAGATTCCATGTGCTTTGATGGCAAACAGACTGAATAACGCTGACCAATTTTTGTGGTGGCCCTGGCACAGCTGCAAGAACCATATCACCCACCAATCTTGGGCCAATATTAATACCCATCAACCTGCGCGGAAAGATTGAGACTCCAGTCCTGGTGGCGACCAGAATAGACGCTCGCACGAATACTCTGCCCAACCATTATCGACATCTAGGCTTGGCTCGGACGGTTTACCTCATTAACTATCACTTGTAGTCTTTCGCTCCGATGGAAAAGAAATACCAGGATGACACTGGTGGGTGTACAAGTTTCCTCGACATTGCATGAATAAAGAAGAAGTCAACGAGGCGTGTCGCGCAACTACTTCTTCAAACAAATGAGAGACCTAGTCATTTGTGAAGCCTTCAATTCATAGTCCTCCTCATACTTATCCTCACCCGTTACCCTACCCGAACAACCATTACGACGGGGAGCTTAGCCTGAGGAGTCATCACGTTCCCAGATAATCCCTTTAAGCTATTATCATGGGGCAGGCATAATTGCTGGGATACATCACGATATAAGGACATGAACCTTTTCCCGGCCATGTCAAGGTAATGAAAGTGATAGACGTTAATCAAAGTCGCTAGGGTTTACTGTCGCGCATGGTAAACTATAGGAAGTGCTGATCGCGTTACAAATAATTTGATAAATGAAAGAGCTTATGTATCAAGACCCTAGTGATTGGGTACGCAATATATGACACAAACAATGACGCATATACCTGTTTGTGTTCCCAACATGACCCGAGGTTGAAACCTCTGGATTAGCAGGTCAAAAGAGAGACAGCGGCAGTGCGGTTGACTCGGATAGTGGCATATCTTGTGATTCCGCTGCCAATCAAGCTATTGCCGGGTTGATGGAAGTCACGTTTTGGGGAGACTTGGGCTTGTCATTAGCTGTTTGGAAGTTTTCGTACAGGTATTATCAGGCACTTGCTCTCGTGGAGGGGTGGGGAGGGGTGGGAACATGTGTTGAGCCTAGACAAAGCTCGATCAGTTTGCCGGCCCTCTAATTGGCTCTTTCTTTTTGTGATGTCTTTCATTTATACTCAGATCAAGGATGCGGTGCACAGCTCTATAATGCATATATGTCTATTGCGTGGAGCTTTGCTTTTGAGACTTGGACTCTAGTTCACGGGACATCAGCTTGAATGGCGGGGTCCCTGAGTCTTTTTCTCCTCAATCAGTGTCATGGCGAGTAAGGTATATCACACCTACCTATTGACCTCATCCCATGTATAATGAGCACAGTCTGCGCGTGTAGACGCACACATCCCGCTACAGGTTGAACTGGCAGGTACCCCAACCAGCATCTCTCGTTTTGTGTTTTTTTTTTTTTTTTTTTTTTTTTTTTTTTTTTTTTGTTGCACTCCCGAGAGAGGGAGAATAGGGTCTGACCGTCCGCAATTTTTTTCTTTTGTACCATCAATCCCTTGAGGTGGAAATTGTTTAAATGGAGCCTTCATTCTCTTGAATTCGCGGAACGTAAAGGATGGACCTTTTGTTTCGAGTGGACCGCAGTATTGTCTACCCCTTTTGGTGGAGGCTTCCAAAGGCAACTGTTCAATAACACCACAATCTCAAACGCACAAAGGCAGTAGTCAATCCTTCTCAAAAATCCCTCTTCACATTAAACTTCTTAAGAGAAGCCCATCCTCTTTTACGTCAACCATCCTAGTCTCCTCTCTTCAGTTTAGGACTCCTAACCTTCCCCCAATTTCCACTTCTCGTCTCAAGCACTCGTATTCCTCCAAATGGCTTATATCCGACCGGATCCACCCAATGGAGGAGTGAGAGCGTGGTCGGTTGTGGTAGGCTCGTTTCTCCTTCAAATGTCTTCTTTTGGATATCTCAATACGTACGTATCTGCTCCTTACCAAAATAATATTTGGGTTGCTGTTTGCCCTTTTTGGTAAAATCGACGCGGCAGCATCTCATTAATGAGCAATTTCACCGGAGCTGATAGCAGAGTTGATTTGCTGACTGCTTTCCTTATTGTGGATTTGCCAGCTGTGGAACTTTCCAATACTATTATCAGAGTATCATGTTGCCCAGCAAGAATTCATCCCAGCTTGCCTGGATCACAACGCTTCAAATCGCTTTCTTTTTCGCGTGCGGGCCAGCCGTGGGCAAACTTGTGGACGTGTACGGCTCTCGGCCTGTCATTGCTCCCTTTGCTGCCCTGGCGGTCATATCGCTTGGTATGCTGAGTCTCTGCACTCAGTACTACCAAGTGCTCCTAGCTCAAGGGGTTGCGTTTGGAATCGCAGTTTCTGGAACTTGCCTGCCAGCCATAGTTACGGTATCCCAGTGGTTCTCAACCAAAAGAGGATTGGCCGTCGGTGTTGCGAGCTGTGGAAGCAGCGTTGGTAAGACATTTTAGTTTATCACTGCCTTCTTGTTATTATTTGTCATGCTCAGCATAACCGCAGCGCACTAGACATGCAGAAAACATATCTTTCATTGGGTATTAGTGGAAGTACTTGCTTGTTCAGCCATTCATGCTAACAAAATTAATTAGGGGGTGTCATTTTCCCGATTATGGTTTCCAGACTGATTAAATCCCACGGCTTTGCGTCCGCTATCAGGTGGTCAATGGTTGTAGTTGGCATAACAATGCTGATTGGAATATTGCTATGCGACACTCCCTTTCCACCACTCTACAAATTGAAAAAGCTGCAAGGTGACGAAGAAGCCGGCCAACCCACCGATAGAAAGAACTCTCAGGATATAGAGCCAGGTGATGCTGAATCGGTTGGGAGCAAAGCCAAGGAGGCTGAATTGGATTCCCCTGTGCTCGAAGCTGCGATACCACCAATCAACGAAGAGGAAAATGCAAAAGGACTACTGAGTGGGCTGCTGCAACGGAAAGCACTTGGATGGGCGGGTTTTGTTTTAGGCACTTTCTTCTTCATGTGTGTGACAACTGGCCCCAAGATATGTACAACCATGATACTGACTCAAAATGTTCTGTTACTTCATAGGTGGTCATTCTTGGCGCCCTTTAACTACCTCCCTCTGATGTCGGTTGCCAGTGGAATGTCCCCAGATCTTGCACAGTACACTCTCACAGTAACCAAGTAAGTGACAATCTCAAGAACCTCTTGGAAGCGAAAGTAAATATGTAAGGCAATAAGTATGGCTAACTCTCGATTCCTAGTGCCGGTTCAATGTTTGGTCGGTGAGTGTGACACCTGGCCCCGTTCTTGATGATCTTCCTTGCTTTTACTCCTTATGTATGTTCGTTCCGTTTCTCTAACGAACGACAATTCAGCGTGGGCCTAGGAGCTGTATCCGACAAAATGGGCGCATTTAACGTCATGTGCATTGTCACCACCTTCACTGCTACAACAGTTTTAGGGTTTTGGTTGCCCCTCAGCTACAACCCCTCCACGGTTGGCATTTTTATGTTTGGGGGTATCTATGGTGTTGCTAGCGGCGGATTTATCAGCTTGATCGCGCCTTGCGTTGTATCTCTTGCCAACAGTCAGCTAGAGAACCTAGGCATTACGTTTGGGCTCGTGTGTATAGGCCTTGCCTTCGGGTATGTTGGCGCTCTTCTGCCCCTTCTCTCACTATCTTCAAGAGATTATGTGTTTTACCCATCCTTTTCAAGCAATCATAGATGGAAGCTAATCAAAAAATTTCTTTTGCGTTCTAAATATACAGAGCACTTGTCGGATTACCAGCAATGGCTGCCGTGAAAGACAGCGCAGCCTCTCACAGCTTCGAAGACCTAATTATCTTCACAGGAGTAGTATTGGCTGTCGGTTCAGTCTGCATGGTCGTTGCCCGCTACATGAAAGGCGGCATCAATTTCCGGACTAAAGTCTAATGAAAGGCGTAGCGAACTTCCTATTATTTGCCACGCGAATGCACATGTCCATGCCAACAAGGGAAGGGTCATAATAGTTTTCTTTTACACATTTCCTTGTTCATCAGGGTAACCCACTACTTTTTTAGTACAGCACGTTTAATATTTTAACGGTGGATTTGGCATAAAGTAGGAATTTCGAAGGAAACAAAGAATAACCAACAAGTGAGGAGGAAAACCTGAGGAGAGATAAAGCAAAAGCGAGAGAGAGAAGTAGTACGGTTTCACAGGTAGATAGAAAAAAAATAAAAGAAATCCCAGTTCCTAGATACACATTTTATTATTGCTTAGAAGTACATCAGAGAACAATCCATCTATGAGAACTGATCGCTTGCGTTGCTCGGCCTTTGAGGTTCCCCCAAGATCTCAAATTATGCTGTGTTGCCTAGGAAAGCAGGGTGAAAAATCCAGAACATACATGAAAAAAGGAACACTTTTCATGCTTGATTGTGTGGAAGACATGAAAGAAAAAGGATGATTGACAGACAGAAGGTTCATATTTTTATTTTCTTTTGCTCATCAATGTTTCCCCTCACCTTAACCTCTTGAAGAACGAACTCAATAGGTCTAGCTGGACATGGGCCATCCACTCTGTCAAAGGCAAGACAAATGTTACATTCAGGTCAAACCTAGAGGTCGTTGCTTTGGAGGGTGGTGTGATAAAAGTCGTCCACTGGAGTCTTAACATCTAGGAGATCACGATGTTTAATCGCCTACTTCCTGCAGATATCATAAGACGTGTGACGTAAAGTAAGAACAAGGAAATAACCGCATGCGTTTGGCAATTGCTAGGTATCATGTTTCCCCAGCACCGGATGTACACCTACCTGTTGTACATATACATGTACATGTACATGTGCATGTACTCAAGTTCTTCCTGATGTCACTTGCGCAGTACAGTACCTCGGCTGTGGAGTAGTTACCATTTGCTCTACGCAAAAGGTGAAAGGACGTCCCTCTTGAAAATCAGGTAAGGACTCATTCATCCATTCATCCATCCCCTACGACAACGATAATAAAAGACTAGCCTTGCTGACCATAACTTACTCGTAACATTTGATATAATCTCACCTCAAGGAGATTTGAATAGAAATGCGGCTCAAATACTCTTCCACGGAACCAGTGGCTTGCTTAAATCATGTTCTGACCAATAGTAGGGCGTCTCGGGATGTATCCACAACCTTAAATCCACGGAAGCAAACTGGTACAGATCACATTGTTGTTTCGAACAGCTAGCGAAGGCCATGACAAGCATGTTGCATGGCAAAACACGAAACAAATCCATCGCTCCTCTCCCTTTCCGCGCATATATCTCTTACTATTACCGGGTCCGAAGGGAATATACTCGAATATACACCCAAAGGGCCCACCAACGCACATATCTTCATAGTCAAGAGCAGTCTAGACGCATCAACACGTTGTGAACAATGTCCACTCTAAGCCGTAGACCCTCGCAGCTCCGCTCAAATAGTGACACGGACAACAATAAACGTTCGTCAATACAAGCGGTACGCTCTCGGCTTAAAACTTTCCTTAAAAGTCGGAACTCAACGCGAAAACGAGTCGCTTGCTAATAATGGGTTTCCATTGAAACGAACACCAGGCAACTACCGCCGGAGATGAGAGCTCAAACCAATTGGTGCAAGCGGTCGACGAGTTGCTAGACCAACTACAGAATAAATTCGACAAAGTCTCAAAGGAGATCTTTGGAAAATGTGAGTTTCATGCTTTTTGGATACTTTGCTTGCTTTTGACTTTTGTTTTCGCGAAATAAAATCGTTGTCCCGCCCCACTGGACATGCCCCGCCCTCCGCCGCTTCGTCTCCATTCAATCCTCACCTACAAAAATGGACTTTTTCATACGCATGTGTCATGCACCCCTGTATACACTCAATCACTAATTACAAACTCCCTTCCCATTAGTGGATGATATGGCACGAAGACTCGACCAACTCGAAGCCGCTCTCGCTAGTTCCCCTGAAGCAAACACGACGAACTGATACGCCCCTCCATTCATAAAAAATGGTGGTTTTGCCTCATTTCTCTCTTTCCCAAAGCATACAACGACTTGATTTCCGATTCTTCCTTTTTCATCTGGATTCACAGCACTATACAGCATATGTATGATAAGCTCAGGAATTCCCAAATCTCTGCATTTTTTGCGCACATACGGACCCCCCAACAGCCGAAGCTGAATAACCCACAGAACCACATCCTTGGCCAAAGTTAACTCTCCGTCGAAAGTCAGGAGAGAGCGGCGGTATCATATGCAAGATATTGGCGTTGTCGGACCTTTTATTTTATATTCTATGTTTGCTGATCAATTGAGCTGTTTCTGTTGTCTAGTACAAGACTGAACGGTCGCAGAAGCTCTATCGTCTTCTAAGTCCTGTTTCTGAAATGATATTGTAATCCCTCTTTGTATTTTATTTTGTTTTCCTTTTTATATTATATGTATTTATTTTATGTTTTCGCAGCCTGGAAGCTTGTTGGTTCTTTTGTCATACCCCCTTTAAAAAAAAAATTAGGTCCTAGAAAGCTTTATATTTCCTCTCTTGGATTTATTAAAGATACCCAGTCGATTCTATACATTATTTTCATGGGAAATTGAATGTGTCCAAGGAATGAAATGAACAGCAAAAACTGAAATCTATCAATTATACACAATGCAAGGCATAAATCATACACTACATATTTGCCTTTCTAGGGGATAATCTCGTTCACCATCACCCTTGAACCCATCGGCCACTAGGACCCCCCCACACACACCCCCTCCCAGCCACAAACCAGCTTCATCCCTTAGGGCCCTAAGAAATCCATCCTACACACCGTTCGCTCACAGCTCATCCTTCCCTTTTTTCTCCTCCTTTTGCTCCTCCTCGTCCTTCTCCGCAATAAATCTCCGCAGAATATTACTCCTCGACATCAAATCATCCATCTTCTCCGGCGCCAGGCCTCCCTTGCTCATCACCCTCTCCAGCCTCGCCAACTCCTTCGTCACATAATCCTTGTTCTCAAATAACTTCACCAGAACCTTGCTGTAGTAATCCACATACGGTCCCTCAACGTTCTTCAAAGCTTTAACTTCGCGTAGGGTCTTCTGAACACTCTTCACGCTGCCAGTAGCGTATTTGGCGATGATGGCATCCAGTGCCTTAATTGTGCCAGCATCCTTATCCAGGCCGCCGCCAACAACGCGGTGGGTTCCGGACTTCTCGTTCACGTACGCAACGAAATCCTCCTCTGAACGACCGCCATCGTAGCTTAATGGAGCCTTGGAGCCGCGGGGGAAGAACTTGATGGTCGGATATGACTTGATATCCTGTGCTTCAGCGGTTCTCTTGGAGTTTTCGGCGTCTGCGTCTACTTTGGCGATTGCGACGTTGGGTTCGAGCTTGAAGTTGTTGGCCAGCTTCTCCCAGATTGGGGCTAGGGTCTTGCAGTCTGCAGGATTTTATTAGTCCAATTGAAGAAGAAAATAGTAAAGGAAATCATTGGAGAATAAACCAATGTCAGGAGGAAACTAGGGACGGAAGCGGAAGAAGAAGGAGGGGAAGGAGGGAAGGGAGCTTACGTCCACACCAAGGAGCCGTAAACGCTACAAAAACATCTTTCTCCCCTCCAATGACCTTGGAGAACGTCGCATCCGTCAACATCTGTACATTGCTTGGAGGCTTCTGCACACCCTTTGGCTTAATCCCCGTCTTCTCCGTCACAAACTTCGTCAGACTCTCCAAGTCCCGTCCACCATTATAGTCCTCGGGCTTGTCGCTCTTCCCATCAAACCACTTCAGCGTTGGGAAGCCCTGAACGCCAAACTTCTTGCCTAGCGACCTATGCTCGTCCGCATCCACTTTGCTGATGTGTACCTTGTCGCTGGCGAAAGCGAAGGCGTCGGCCAGCTCATCGTAGATGGGGGCTAGGTTTTTGCAGTGACCGCACCAGGGAGCGAAGAATTCGACTAGACCTGGTTTGCCTGATTTGAGGGCAACGGAATCGAAGCTATCTGGGGTTAGGTCTAGGACAGCGGATATGGCGCTGGCGGGGCCGATGTGGTTGAGGAGGACGGAGGCGGAGGCCAGGAGGAGGTAGCTTAGGCGAGCCATTTTGGGCGATGGGGCCTGTTGGGAGTGCGAGCGAGATCAAATTTCACACCACAATCTGGAATATCCTGAAGATGCGCCGGTCTCTAGGAGCATGTGTATGTTTTTTTTCTTTTCAAGCGAGGTTGTTATCGTCGCAGGCTCGCTGGCATGTCAGCTGCTAGCCGTTCGGTGGAATGGGCCAAATGATATTGAGGACAGCTGTTGCCGGCGCGATTACTAATGAGGGAACTAGATCGATAGCCGCAGCGCTAAGGAGAACAAACCACGGCAATTATTTATTAGCGTAACTCTGTAGCTTGGATGGAAATCCTGAGTTGATTGAAATATATTTAAAGCTTGGTAGCAATTGCTATCCTACGCTTGACTATTCCGATGGTTGGTTAAACTATCACAGGATGGGTCAGCCCAACCGTTAAGGTTGGGTCCAGTACCATATTGATATATTGATACCAGATTAGGGTATTGGTAGGGTAAACACCGAACTGAGTTCTACGATTGCTGCCAGGGAATGCAGCGCCAGCTTTTTGGCCACGCCAAAGCAAGAGTTAAGAAGAAAAACACACCCCCAGTTATCTCCGTTCCGTCAACCATTTATTGGTCTCGTCCCACAATTTCGCATCTTTGAACTCCTTCCCAGCATTCTGAGATGCTCGATAAACCTAGCGGAAATAATTAGTTTAATTTTCCTTTTTCACAATAGTGGGTCCGAACATACCGCATCCCAAAGTGTGAAGGCCATGTCCAGGTTTCCGCTGAAGCTATCGCTATGTTGGAACCACTCTTTGCCCTTGGCCTTGACCTCAGCCCGAACTCTTGGCGATATTGGCTCCGATTGTTGTGGCAAGTCGTCAAGATACGTCCGAACAGCAATTCCAAGTCCGCAATTGTTATCATCAATAAAAGGAAGACTAAATTGCAATTAGTATTGCGAGGTTGATAAGTAATTAGCTTGACTAACCTGAGCCCCAAATCAGTCCAGTCATCACGATCGCGGTCCGCTTCTCCGTTCAACAAAAGACTTGCTAGGACGACCTCAACCAAATCTCTAAGGCTCGACCGGACAGCGCATATTAGGGAACGGAACGACAGGAGCTGTCTACTCAGAGGACCTGAATAGCCAATGGATTTGTGGCGGATTTTGCCAATGCAGGCAACTTGTGACACCAGCAGATTGAACTTTTTCTCCTCATCTAATGGAAAGCTTAGTACAGCAAACAAATGCAAAACCCGCGAGAATTTCAATATCACTTACCGGTACCCCTCATTGGGCCACCAGAGATATTCGCAAACCAATCCTTAGAGCTCAGAACCCCGAGACGCAAAAGCTCCACGGCAATAAAAGTCGGTTCTTCCAAGTTCTCCGCAGGGTCTAATGACGACATGGCTACTTCCAATGCTTGTCCCCATTGAGTGAGTCGGTGCTTATCATTGACATAGCCCCGTAGTTGTAATAACCTCCACATTACATTTGCAAGAATTTCAGTTTTTGATGATAGAGGCTATTAAATGTTAGATAATGAATGATACCTCCGCTATTTTATGAAACATTGATTACTTACAGGCGCATCCCGGGTTGAGAATGAGTTGGAAACAAACTCCTGATCCTTCAAAGCTCGAAGGGCGAAAGTAAATGGGAGAGAATCGGCCTAATGGAAAATGAGCATAAACGATACAAAAGGCGACAGCCGTAGTGTACCATACCTGGAGTTGCTTGACACTTTCCGGGAATTTATCACTTCGAAGTTTCCACGAGATGGTAGACTCCTTCACTGAAGGCAAATCTTCCTTAAGGTTGATAGAGCGGGTAGATTTCGGCGCATACCATGTACGAACATTGATAGCTTTAGTCTGGTAGAAGCGATGAAGAGAATTGGAAAGCAGGCACAAAGCCTGGGTTCGAATAGGAGTAAGAAGATCTCCCTGGAGACGACGATAAATCTCCGAGTCCTCAGCGCCTAGTGGTAGCCTGATCAAGAGCTCGCCCGAAGTCAACCAGTCGGGAACTTGAGAACCAAGAATACCCTTGGACATGTAAAAGTAAAGTTCCTCTGGCAGTCGCTGCCCGATGAGTTCATGCAAGTCGTTGGATACATTCTCAGCATCCATAGGGCCAACCTTCCCATCAATATCCATAATTATATGGTGTTTCACCGTCATGAGTGCGCGCTTAAAATGTTCAACGTAGGGCAAGTCATTGATTCGATGGTCATCTTCAATCTGACCACACAGAACCAAAGCATTTCGCCCGGCGCTATTATACGCGGTCATAGCCTCTCGGATATTAACATTCTTTCCGGGGAATGCCACGTTTTCGAAAGGTGGGAAGGCTCGGAGAAATCGGGAGCCAAGGAGCAAGCAGAATTCGACGAACTGCTCATTTGTTATCCTTCCCAGATCATCTTGGCATATTTGCCTAGTGATCCATGTGAATTTGGAAAGGTCGGTATCCAGTCTCGTGATGACTTTGTCTATATCGAAAAGGAAGAGGTCTGATGGGCCGAAAACAGCGTCGACGAATCGGTTGGGGCCTTTTTCAAGGTAGGCAAGCTGCAGAAGAAAAGTGTCAATTAGGCATAAATCCAAGCCGCGGGAGAGACCGATCACAAAATTACCTGTGCGGAAGCAGCGTAAGGTGCAACGAGAAAGTCGATTCCTAGTTCATGTAGAATTCTTTGCAAGAACTTATAAAGAGTCTCGGGTTTTGCGCTCCCTACCAGTCGAATATCAGCACATGTTAAAACTAGGAATGTCTGTCCCAGAAAAAAATGAACATACCGGCCGAACTAAAGGCATCGACGACCTGGTCCGCCTGTTTCTGGTCATACAACTCCCATGCCTGTTCCAGAGCGCGAGTAGAGTTAGCTTGAGCAGAGAAATCGGTTTCGCGTTTCCCGAAATCAAGCCCATTGAAGACAAAGACGCAGGTAATGTTCAAGTTCTTCAGGGCTTGGAGCTCCTTTTCGATATTGGATTTCAGAGAAAACGGGAAGCCTCCCAGGGCAATGAGGAGGGGTTCTTTGGTCGCATGGTGATTCAGGTGTTGGTCAAGATAGTGGGAGGCATCGATGCCTATGACAGCACCTTTAAGGGCGGAAAGAGGGAGAGTCTGGGCACGGCCGCTGGCCCACTCATCAAAGGCACAAACTAGAAAAGGGGACCCAAGGGTTTTGTGTCAGTTGCGGTCTATGAGAACAGCAGTAGTTGGGTGGCTTGATTGATACATACTCGGCATAGTGTAGAGAGCTTTGTTCAGCTAGCAAGCAATAGGTGGTTGAGGGCAGTGGTGCTCCGCCAGTCGTTGGAGCTTGTTTGGGCGAAAGGCAAGGGGGAGCTCCAAGCTAGCTAGCAGAGATGCGCGCGTGCGGTCGGATGGAATACACTGCGGCAAACCCTTGCAATGGCTCACGGTTGGCAGGAGGAACGCTGATGCTGACACACAGCAGTAGAGCAGCAGCAGAGGGCCGTGGTTGGGATGTCAAGGAGTCGAAGGGGATGTGAACGAGTTGACGTTGAAATCGGAAGCAGCAAAAGTGAGAGCGCGGGAGAACAGGCGGGCAGTGGCGGTAATGGAGTGGGGCGTGGCTGGTAGACACGGCATATGCATGGGTACCAAGCAAAATACCAGATGCGCGTGCATTTTTCCCTAGGAGAGTATGTCCCTTCGGTTGAACAACCATGGATATTGTTTCATTAATCTCAAAAGATCAAAAAAGGTTTAAATTCTATTTAACCGATCTAATTTTAATGAATGCATCATACTCCTCGCCGATGTTCGGCTTTTTACTCGTCCCCGTCAAGCGGAACTGACCGAAGCTCCTCCATGTCAAAGATTGCCTCTTCCCCATGCAACCGATCCCGGACCGATATGATATGGTGTGGTACAAGGCGAAAAATCATAAATACTTTCAAAATCCGGATATAACCTTCCACTCTATCAAACAATCGTATATCATCGCCATCATTGACTGATTAGCAATGGTCGAGAATAAGCCCGCCAGAGCGGCTGCCGTGCGGCTGCCAGTGATCAACATCTCAAAAGCCACACCCGCCGTTGGAAAGGCTATGATCGATGCGGCAACTAAATATGGCTTTTTCTATGTGGATAGTGCCAGCAGTTATTTCTCAAGTGACGATGTAGAGGGCGCGTTTGCTATGGTATGATTATACCCAATTGCTTTCAGCCTCTCGTTGCGCAGGCCAGGTAGATAGATATTGGCAAAACCTGACATTGGAACTCAAAATTTAGGCCCGGGAGTTCTTTGCTTCTCCTTATGAAGAAAAAGCTGTGGTTGCGATTGGTACAAATGTATGTAGAAGCAACATACCTGTATCTTGTGCATCGCCGGTTATGCACGACTCTTCACCATTTGAAGAAGAGATGATCAGACGCTCTATAAACCCGTCAGTTGATTGAGAATTTTGTGAAAATAGAATAGGGGCTGGTCTGGCATGCATGCGGAAACGCTTGACCCCAAACATCAACAGGTGCGCTTTGCCAAATAGCTCAATATTCCCCTATTGTTGCTTCGTTCGCATACTCATCTGGACGAGCATGACGCTAACAAAGCATTATTATCGTATGGCTTTGCTTAACATAGAGAGGCGATTTCAAAGAGTATCTATATTCTCCGCTCTAGATCCTGACTCGCTCCCTATACGCACCAGGCACCCCTTTTCCTCCATACAATAGATATATAGAAATGGATTCTGGCTAACGATCGTCAACCCAGAGCAATGAACTTTGGCGAATTCAAAGATAACAAGCCCCAGCAGGAGCTGCCTAAATCGCTTGTTCACCACGAAGCCGAGTTAGCATGCTTCATGGACCTATGTCGAAAGACATGTAATCGGATTCTCGCCCTCCTAGCCCTAGGCTTAGATGTAAGCATATTCCTCAACTAATCCCCTGGGGTAGGATGACATAGAAACGAGGAAAGAACAAGGGCGTTACGAATTCCACGCCACTTTCCTCTTTATATATAAGTATATAACTATATATATACCTCGAACGATCCAACTAACAAATCCCCCCTCCCCCCACCTTTTCCGCCCCGAAACTAGATCCCCGAAAACTGGTTTACATCCCGTCACGACCCCGCCGTCGGGCCGTCTGGCTGCACCTTCCGCTTCCTCTACTACCCTTCAATCGACTCACCTGCTTCCTCAACCTTCAAGCACGGCGTTGACGTCCGCGCCGGGGCCCACAGCGACTACGGCAGTATCACCCTCCTATTCCAGCGAGATGGCCAGCCAGGGTTAGAAATCCTTACGCCGACGGGGGGATGGGCGCCTGTACCTGTTCGGCCTGCTGTTTCTGGCAGTGACAGTGGCAGTGGCGCGGATGCGATATTCCCACCCATACTGATAAACATTGGTGATCTGCTGAGTTTCTGGACGGCTGGGCTGTTGAAATCTACGGTACATCGAGTTGTGTTTCCACAGGAGTTGCAGCAACAGCAACAGCAGCAGCAGCAGGGAGTTGAGATGGATGAAGGCGACCGAAGCCGTGATAGGTATAGCATGGCATATTTCTGTCATCCGGTGAATAACACGGAGCTTGTGCCTGTTCCTAGCCAGCTCGTTGAGGAGCGGAGGAAGCAGAATATGATGTCTACGACGGACGGCAGGCAGCGACTGGGAGATAATGGTGGTAATAGTGGTGATGCTGGGGAAGTTCCTTTGACTGCGAGAGAGCATTTGGCGGGGAGGTTGGCGGCGACATATGGCGGGTTGAAGGAGGAGTATCAGTGATTTTTATCTTTTTTTTCTCTAACATCTAGCGTCTCGGGCTATGATTGAATGGATCTGCTTCTTTCATCCTGTAGCTCAGAGTTTCTATCTCAGTATTCATAGCCCAACTGCAACCATCCCAAATCCATACGACATGGCTTTTCCCCTTTTCTCGCACACGTCCTTTCGTGGCTTTTTGGAAATTGTGAAATACGACAATAAAATCTATCCAACACGATCTAAATCTGTAGATGCATTTAGAACCCCATTGCGGCCAAGGCGACAAAAGCTTAATTTTAGTAGGTTTGCCATAAGCCATTCATAATCTCAGTACAACTGCTCCAAAAACGGAAAATCTTGCGTAGTTAAGTTAAACGAATGGCTTATATAATATAAATTGTACCCGTTCCAGCATGCCTCTTCATCTTCTGGCCATCCCATTTCTTACTCCAAAGCCGTATCGGTCCTTTCAAGTGGATAATTTCAAGAGCACGTCATCAAAAGGCGGAAAAGCAGAAACATCATCATCACACTACTGTCACAACCTCTAAGTCTCCCAAAGTCTCCAAAGGATTTTTCGGCGCTTTATCATGAAAATCAGTGGGGGGAGGGGATGGTTCAGCAAAACGAAGAGGAAGCTAGCCATTGCGAGGAGATGATATACGTATTTTTATTCCATGATTCAATCGGAATACATAACAAAAATGAGAGGGGAATAAGTGGTATATGCACTGACTACTCAGAAGAGCTATATATAGAGAGAGAGAAGGGGGGGGGAAGAGAAAGGTTGAGTTGTTTATTCGTTTTGTTTAAAGAGGAAATAGAGAGCAATGCGGAGCGAAGTAGAGCAGAGCAGAGCAAACACAAACGAAAAAAAAAAAAGAACAATGTTAGGCAAGAGAGTTGCTGTCAAAGCAGTGGGGACACAGATACGAAAATAAAATAAAAATAAAAAGGAGGAAAAGCTAAGAAATCACAAGTTCCCCAAGAAAGGCTTGTTGGAAAAGGCGCAGTGGGTAGCGGTAGAATGTACGAAAAGAAAATGCCACAATGGAATAAAATAGACACATAGAAAGTGAATGCAAAAACAATGGGGGGTACAAAAGAGGGATATAACTAACAGCGAAAAATGATAAATATGCAGAAGTATTCGCCTAATATACGTTAACTTACGTCACTACCAACCTCTCTCTTTCCACCCCCCATCCCATTCCCAACCGTGAATAATGTAAAAGAAGATTGAAAAATAGAAGTTAATATTAAGAAAAAATGGAAAACTAAGTTAGGACCGTCAAAAGGAGGAGGTAGCGGGAAGGAAACGAAACGAAAGTAGCGCACCCAGAAGCCCATGTTAGCAAGCCAGCTGGGTGGAATAATATAGCGCGCTCAAGGGAGAGAGAAGAGAATTGTCTGTGGAATGCACTTTCTTTCTTTCATGAGCCAAAAAGCAAAAAGAGGAAGCTCAATATGAAGAAGGGTTGACAGCAAGACTAAGGAAATTCGTCCATATGATTCGAAAATTAAGAGTGAAAGTTATAAGTGTATATATAAAAGTAGTCAAGTGACATCAAAGATGATGGCACTCGCAGAATGGTTCTGGCTCTAAGAGAAAAACAAGATAATAAAAGAAACAAAAAGAGAAGGAAAAAGAAGTGTCATAAAAACGGTTGCTTGATTGTAAATAATCGGGGAATCGATGGTGATTGATAATGCAAGTCTGCTATGATCTCGGATGGAAGTGGTTGTTGAAAATGTTTCTGGCAACTTGACTTTGAGACAGTCTAGAAGAAGGGGGGAGGTACGATGCATATTTCAGTGTATTATGGCGCCTGCTCAGAAGGTTGTGGCTGCTCAGAAGACTGTGCCTGCTCGGAAGGGCCTGGGGTGCTATGGCACCAATGACGATGGAAGGCCCAGGCATTCTTCTGGCAATCTTTGCTACAATACTTTGTCCTGCGGCATCGTCTACATTTCGCAAATTGGCGTTGGAACTCCTCCCATTTCCCACACTTGTAGTATGCACACTGGCGAATACCGCCCCTGGCATCATCCTTGCGGCATAGATTTCGCATCACAACGCAGGCCCAGTATTGCATATCCTTGGTGTGGTGTCGAATGGTGAATTTTTCAACAAGTGGGAATATGTTGAAATCATCGGGTAGTAGGTATTCCTCTTCCTCTTCCTCCGGCTCCAGCGGAGGTTGAGACAGAGCATTGGGATCGTCCAAGAGGTGAATGTCCTTACCCAACTTCAATCTTGGAACCAAATGTGTCTTTTGGAAATACGAGCGTAAATTGCAATATTTCGAGACATATGCTAGAAGTTGTAAGGCCATCAAGACATCTTCATCTCGAGGCATCGCAGTCAAAACACCGGGAGGTACTTGGCGATCTCTCAGGTAGAAAGGATAGAGGTTTTGCTGAGGAACAGGAGACGCAGTGTTTAACGCAGTCGGGCGGACGGGTGAAAGGCCAGCAACACCATTTCCGGGCTGCGCTGTTGTGTTTATGATGCCTACGTCAATTGCAGATGGGTGAGTGATATTGAAAGTCTCCGCTTCAGGTGTATCGGACGGGTTTGGAATCGTGATTCCATGGGTCTCGGAGCTACCGTCAAGCATGGAGCCGCTTTCGCCAACATCATCGATTTCCATTCCGTTCTGCATATCAACTATGGGCTCAGTGACGTGGTGTGGAGAAGGGTCCTCTCCCATGACCACATCATCTCCATTAGCATCGTCAGACTCTCCCGATGCCGAAGGCTGCTGGCGAATCGATGGGCGTCGTCTCGCTCTCGCATTCATGGGAGCAGGGTTTTGATGTTCACCAACGCCGTGGGGCGTCGTTGGTGACTCTGGCTGAGAGTTAAGTCCCGGTTGCAGGCCTGGAAGCATTGGCGGCAACCGGTCAGCGTCACGAACAGGACGAAGCCCAAAACCAACAGTGCCATCCACAGGAGGAACAGCTGTTGCAAGAGGTTGCATTACTCGATGACGATGTGTTCCTAGCTGATGGCGGCTCTCGATTGTTCTATGGCTGCGTGCATCACGGGAAAATATCGTGCGATCTGGAGGAGAAGTTAGGATGACTTGAGGGGACGGTGTGATTTCCATCGCGCCAGACTCTCCGTGTTGGGCATCTCGAGAATATGGATGAGGAATCTCAATCGACGGGGGTGGGGCTTGTCGGCGAGTGGTGCGGTGGTCTGACGATGCCGGAGCTCTCTCAAAGAAGGATGAACGATTGCTCTGATCGCGTGAACGGGATGTTTTGGAAACTCTCGTGTTCCGCTGTGCTTCTGCATCGGCACGTGCCCTTATTTTATCGACCACACGAATGTAGTTATCGAGGATTGTGGCAACTACCGGCACAACATCTGCCTCAACAACTCTCGTCCTCACATTCTCCGTGCCACGGACTCCAATATTGACCACACACTGGAAGGCAAGGTTCCATTTCCACATCTCCATCAAGTCCTTGCTCCTCCCTTCCTTCAGAATGCATACTAACTGCTCAATTCCTCCATCGACGGTAAGTATGTCACGAATTCTGGCAGAGGATGTGGTGAGGTAGGCAAGGTGGTTCAGGGAGTTCATGAGAGGAAGCGTGGAAGTGCAGTCAAGGGCCCGTCGGTCGTAAAGCGTAGTTGTGATGTTGACAGCCGCCTTGTTGACGTTCGGAATGCTGAAATTTACTTCCCTCATGACGAATGTTGTCAAATACTTTCTGACTTCGAACCGGAATTAAAAGGGGATATAAGGGTTTGTGAACGCTGATAAAACTTTAGCACGTTGTGACACAGGAGCAAAGCTATCACTCCGTTCGGGAAGTCATACCTATTTGCAAAGGGTGAAGATTCCTTTGGGTTGAATAAAATATATCGGGATGAACAAATGGATGGCCCGATCTACATCAAATTACAAAAGGGTATTGTGGTAGAAAACCCGATTGATCCAATAACGATAACACCAGAGCGGGGGGTATATGAGCCGTGAAATGATGGGACGATGATCAAGGTCTCTTGTTTTTTTTTTTTTTTTTTTTGTTTTTTGACACAAAAAGCAGAAACCGACCAAGGAAAACGAGGCTCTAAAACCCAAGAAGGAAAACTATGTGAGCACGCAACGAGGGAGCTTTATACGGAACGGCAGACGGCTTCAAAATCTGGCAGCGAGGGTCTGCACATGGGGTTGAGTCGATGTGGGAAGGATGGAAGCCTCTATTGAAGATGTATTTAGTACGGATTGCTGCATAACTTTCTGATCAGATATCAGGCGTCTGATGGCACAGAGCTATCGAGTCACGAGGAATGAGACCTCTTTAAACAGTGGGACGTGACTTGAGAGATAAAGGTCGAAATTGAATAGTGGGAGCAATGAGGGGGGGATACTACTAACCTTGGATTGTAAATGATACAGAACGGATGGGGATGAGGCTCGCGATGGGGATGCAAAACTGACGGGGGGGAGAGGAGGGGGCTTGGCCGTTGTAGAGCCACAAAAGCGAGCAAAGAGAAACAACCACCACGACGCAGACGTGGAGTAGGGTATCTGAAGAGAGAGCCAAAAAAACAAAAAAGAAAAAAGAGAGGCAAGGCGAGGGAGTTGATGAGAACGAGAAGTAAAAAAAGAGAGCAGATGGGAGAGATGGAGAGATGGAGGATAATTGAGGGCAAACGGGGGTAGAGAGGAAAGGATGGGTTTGGTTGGGCTGAGGAGAGGACGGCACGAGCCTGAGCCTTGAGCCTGAGCCTGATGCCTGCTTAGCTAAGGCGCCGCCCCCCGCCAAGATAACTTATCCGACTGGAGCTTGGAGCTGGTGCTTTTTGCCTTCAGGCGTGGGATTTCCCCATTTTATTTTGTTCTTTAACTAATTTATAACTGTTTTACTGGCATTGTTACTCCCGTTCATTATTATGCTTGTTCTTGGTTTTGGTTTTGGTTTTGGTTTTGTTTTGGTTTTGTTTTGGTTTTGGTTTTTGTTTTTGGTTTTGGTTTTATTCTTGTTCTGATGATTCTTGTTCTTGTTCTTGATTGTTCGATAGCTACCATTCCTTAGTCCCGAGGTGTCTATTTATAGATACTCAGTTTCCTCTCTCTTTCTTTGCTCTGCCCTACCTCGACGTTTTTAAATGGAGCTGGGAATGAATAAATGACCCATGTCCGCTGACTGTCAACAGTTGAGAAACTGAGCATCGTCCCGTCTAGAGCGCCTGGTAATTTTCCCCTTGCGGCGCCAGTTTTGGGGGCGCCACACGAAGATGGGTAAGTCTTTTTGTCGTTGCGAATACGGAGTAGTTAGTTATATTTACAAAGTGGTGCACACACTTGGGGACCCTAGTCGCACTCTTACGTAAATATTGACGTGACTTAATTTGATTAGAGAAGTATATAGAGAGAGAGGAAAAAGGAGGGAGCAGAAGAGAGAGAGCCTTTTAGTAGATGAGTAGATGATCAGAGCAAAGAGAAATTGCATTGAAATAATCGCAACTTGACAAGGGATAACCATACGGGATAACTATAGGTACGCCTATCCGCCGGCGGCAAGTGGAGGAGGGCTAAGGTTTTTTTTATTCCTTGTCTGTTTTAAACCCAGTAGTTGAAGCTGAAGGAGGAAACTGAACAGAGCCAACCTCTGAGCCGACAAAAGGAATGGTATTGTGGAAGGTGTAAAGCTTGCTTGATTGAAAAGGTTGCTAGCTTGGTGTATACAGAAAATGTAGGCTACTGAGGCAAAAGAGCTCAGTCCCCACTAGCGCACTGCTGGTAGGAGGGCCTATCACGCCACTTGACCTCATTACATAATCATGACCCTGACCTCGCTTGACTTTTGTAGGATAGTTGAAGGTTGTATTGATAGATCTATCTACAAGAATTATCTCAGCAAGCTCAGACGCTTCTCCAGATATTTATTGCTGTTTTAACACTGGATTGATGATTATGTCATGAGCTAATCTCAAATAAGCAATAAGCTAACCCAAATAGTAAAATCAGGTCATGTGAGTGATGATATCTTGCAAAGTGTCTGAGAAGAAACAGTTCCTGATTATTAGTAACACAGAAAGGATTTACTCAGTACTCTGAGTATGAAAGAGAATTTCAACTCAACTTCATAGATTCATCATTTCTGTATCATCTTGAAATCTTAGAATAACAATGTTCTCATGATGTATCTGATTTTTATATTCATATCTTAAGTTCTTAGAATAGAAGTATCATCTCAAAGTTGATCAGTGTGTTTTTGAATATAGAAATTTTAATTCAATTTCTCATATAAAAAAAAGCTCTTAGAAATTCTGAGATCAAAAAATATGATCATTTTCAAGAGTATATATCTATCTTAAATATAGATTTTTTTGAAATATTAAAGAAATATTTCTATTCTTCTTCTCTTTAGCTATAAGCTAAGGTGATTTTCAAATCTCAAAGATATGTGAGTATATAGTAATAGAAAGTCAAAGTTAAAGAATCTGAAAAATCCTTGTAAATCTTGAAAATCTTCATTGAAGATGAAACTGTTTCTTCTCAGACTCTCTGACAAGAATTGCTCTGAGCACATGACTTGTATCAAAAGTAGATTAGTGTTATACTGAATTAGTCTGCAATCTGTTCAAACTGAGTCAGAGGTCTGAGCCCGCTGAGATAATACAAGAACATAATATAGTAGTGAGTCACGTGATCTAGTGGGATCACTAACCGCAACAGCTGTAAGAGTCAACACCCTCTCTCAAGATAACAAGAATCATATATAAAAACACTCAAATCATTAAGATAGTCTGTCAAAATTAAATACAAATGTAAAATTAAACATTCTCAACTTTTATATCTGTAAGATCTAGTAAAATCATGAATTATATAAATATCATAGTATTTAGAGATTTAGTGAGTTTATTCACTGTTATCTGAGTGATAAGAATATATTCTAAATTAATAACTCTCTAATTCAACTATCAATGTGAAAAATGAAAACACATATCAATGTGCTTACTTCAGACTGTAATAACTGTCATCTTTGTAAGATCTATAATACTCTTATTATCAGTGAGAATTCATATCAGAGATATAGTGATGAAGTCAAGCTCAATCATAAGATTTCAGATTTATATTACTTTGTAAACTATCTTGTTAAGAGTTATATATTCAGTCTTATTGAAACTCAGAGATATACAAGATTACTTTACTGAATATTATAAAATCAGACTATCTGTAAGCTTAAAAACATAGTCAAATGTTAATTTTCTATTATTATTTAAAAGACTGACTCAATCAGAATCTGAGTAGCTGAAGAGTAGATAGAAATTATCAGAGAAATCAGAGATAATGAAAAGATCAGTAGAAATAAATCTCTTATACAAGCTGTATTTATAGAAAATACTCAGATTCATGATCTCTTTTAAATAATATATAATATATAACAGAGTCTTTCAATATTAAGATATTAAATCAATATTTTATTAAGTGAGTAGTGAGATAGTATAAGTAATATCAGAACATATTTTAACTGTAAGATATTATAAGTAATTTATATTATATTAATATCACTGAATTGTGAAATCAGTCTCTTTCTCAGATATAGAGAAATTATTAATATAAAATTCATTCTTCATTGATATTCTAGTAATAGCTGTATTATTAAGATAGAAATCTTTAATAAGATATTTAATATATTGATAATATATTAAATCAATTCTCTTATCTGAATAATTAATCTTCATACTCAAATACTTGATTGACTGATATAGATTCTTGACTTTCAATTTCTTACTAAGTATACTTACTAGTTAATTAGCATTCTCAGAAGCTTTGAATATAATGTTGAGATTATTAATATAGATTATTATATAGAGATAATATCTGAATATATAATATCAGAGTACTGAATCATGAGTACTGACTGTAAATTCAAGATCACTTAATAAAGCTGTTAAGTAATTATATCAGATCTTTATCACAGAGTTCAGACTGTATAAACTACTCTCAATTACATAGATAAGTGTTTTCAGCAAACCTGTCTTAAATTCAGTGAATTATCTCATATAGATCTTCTTAATGAGACACTTATAAAGATATACTATTACTATATTTACTTAATAGAGTGTTCAATTGTGTAGTACTGCTATTATAAAAAGAATATAATTAATAGTATCAGTAATAACAGAAGTATAGATCTCTTCTCTAGAACTCTTCTTAAGTCAGTTATTATAAATCACTTAATATAAGTTTTTAAGAATATTATCAGAATCAGTATTCAGATCTACAGATCTATCTGTGATTCAAAGATTGCTTAAGTCAGCGTACGATTACAGGTGTACGCCGGCTTCTTATATATTGTAATATCATACGCTAATTTAATTAGCAGCTGCTATGGCCTCTTTACACTTGTACATGTACACTAGTAGTTCAGAAGTGACTGTGTTATTATCTGACAGTCATACATTCTTTCAAACCACATCCTCTCTCACCAGATTTGATCATGCTCAAATAATCATATCATACACTCTAGCTTCATGCAGATTAGCTCATCACTAGCATTTCACAATTGTGTGACCTATTTCTGATTCAGCTAGTATTCTGTGTACACTCTCACAAAGAAACTTTTACTATATTATATCACTTATTCACTAACTTTTCTCATTCTTCAATCATCTTCTTCATCATCATCATCATTGAATGTCACTATCTCATTCAAGATTTCTACTTCTTCTTCTATTCAACTCTTTTCATCTGTTCATCTATCATATTATACATGTTTCTGACAATGACTCTCTATTCTTATAATAAGCATCATTGTAGTGCTCATATCAGGCAGTTCATTAGCAGTAAGTGTAATGTGTTGTGAAACATATGTGATCAGAACTTGTTTATCTTCTAATAATTGTCAGAATGTACTATCATGAATAGCACATCTTCTTCATCTTCTTATACACTCTCTTCACCTTCTTATACACTCTTAACTGTTTCTCTTCTCAGCAGGTTTCTGATTGTGTTTTCTGACATGATTTTGTATAAATGCAGATGCTGATATGTTTGTTTTTATTCATGTAGAATCTTTATACATTGACAGATCTGTGTCTGCTGATGATAGTGAACTCAATGTTGAATCATTGATTAAGAACTTGAAGAACATGATAATGAAGAAATTACTTATATTATATGTGACTGAGTCTTCTGTATTTCTTTCTGTTCTCTCTGTTTCTTTCTCTGCTGCTCTCTCTCAATCTTCTACACCTGTTCCTGTGTCTGATTCTTCTGCTCCTGCTACTCCTGTTCCTGCGATCTCTGGTTTTACTGCCTCTGCCTTCATTATCAGCTCTCTCTGTTTCAAGGAGATATTGCATAGACTTAATAAACCATGTCTCTCAGTGTGTACACTCTCACTCTTCTTACTAACTCTCAGAACAATTTATTATATAAAGACTGTGTATGACATAACTATCTAAAGCTTGATCACAGACACTGATTATTACATTCATTTTAAATATTTATAATGAGATAATTATTTATTTATATCAGAGAATCACTTCTCTTCTCAATAGTATTGAGATTGTAAGTCTTTTTCTTTTTCATCTTTTCTTTCTAACACTGATTTTTCTGTTCTTAGAGGAAATTATTATGAGTTTTACTGTGTATAAAGTCATAGTGTTCACAGACATCAAGAAGCTTTTCATAACTGTAAAGTTTAATATTACAGAAATATTCACTCTGATGAATTTCTTCAGAATAATAGATCTGTATCAGTCTATTCTCTGATATCTATCATCTGACTTCATGATGCAGGTGAAAGATATTCATGTTTTCAGAAACAGGAACACAGATATTATACTCTTTTACACTTATAGATGTGTGGCTTGTATGTCTTATCTGAGATGTCATTGTGAGAATAAGTCATTTACACACTGTGTTCTGCTTCCTGCATTTTCTCATGTCTCTCTCTCTCTTTCTGAGAAGTCTTGTGCATGTTGTAATTATGCATATAATTCTAAGATCAGTGAGTGTTTGTTCAGTAATTATTATCCCTGTTTTTATAATTTTATATGCTAATAATAGTTCTTAGTTGCTTCAGCATCAGAGACTATTTTAATTGAAGATGATAATACTGCTGAGACTATCTTCTTTCACTCTCAAGCTTCTTCTGTCACTTCTTCTTCCTTCTCTGTGAGAAAGGTCATGCACATATCAGATTGTAAGTGTTCAGTCTCAGATGACTTCTATTATTCATTCAGTTCTGTGTCTCTCTCTTCTATTTCTTCTATCTTCATTCTCTCTGTTCTGGCTTCTGATTCTGTGAGTCTCATACTCTTCTTCAATTTCTCTATGCATACACATACACATTTCTATATTAACATTCCAGTCAATCTTGTGATAAATGACATTAATGTTGTACACAGAGTGATAGAGGAATCAGAGACATGTATGATATTATTATAAGAGTGACTTACAGCTCTTGAATTCCTTGCAAACCTCGAGTTTTGAGATTTCTTTTGTTTTTAATGTTTTTCAGATGATGTGGTGTTAGAAATAGATTAAATATATGATATATGAAAATGAATGAGATGTGTATAATAACATTTGTCTTTTATGACTGATTCTTATGATTGATGATCAATTTATTATCTCTTTTCTTACACTTTTTCTTTATCTGCTAGTCATTACTCTTACACAATCTCTATATAATACAGTGTTCAGTGACTAGATTCAGCAGCTTTCATCTTTTGTGATTCTGTCTCATGTATTATACTGTCTCTCTTCACCTGCTCAGATCACTACAGTGAACAGCTCATTGAAACTAATCTTATCTGATCTCTGAGTGTTCTCAGAGATTAAAATGACTTGATCTCACATATTCACAGATGTTTCAGATAGTTTGTTCTCTGTGATCTCTGTGATTGAACTGATGTAAACAGTTGAATTCAACTGTGAATTTCTTTTTCTTCTGTGATCTGACTCATATACAAGTCTGCTGCTCTGAGATCACTCTTTATCATATTGCACTCACTGTCTGTGATGCATTATTATATGACTGACTACAGTCTCATCACTTATTGAAGTGTGATGTTCATCTGTTTTCTTCATTACTTCTCATTCTTTTCTTATAATTATGAAAAGATTGAAATAAGTGAGATTATCTGATTTATAAGTATCTATAATTTCTCTTACTTCATGAGACTTTTCAATTATAAGTCTCTTCTTTTTCAATACTAATGATAGTGCTGTGAATAATCATAATCTGCTCAGATCTTGCATCTTTGCTTTCACAAGTCATGAATCATTGATTAAGTTATATAAGACTCATCCCTCTGATTCTTTCAATGTGTATGTTCTCAGAGAATGTGATTTAAGTATTTTATATAACTCAAATCATCTAGGTTGGAACTTCTCAGAACTCTCATTATATATAAGAACTCACATTCTTATCTTAAGACTTGATTTCTTAACAAGTGAGTCTCATATTCTTTTTGATTGAATTGCTCAGTTCAGGAGTAACTTGTTAGCTTTTGCATGTGTGTGACTGATCTCTTTCAATCTTGGTTCTGCATCTGTGACTGTTGTGTCTGTAACTGCTGTTTCTGCTGTGTCTGCAACTGCTGTTTCTACTGCATCTGCAACTACTGTTCTCTCTCTCACCTTTTCTGAAGCATTCTCTAGGATGCGCGGATGCAATCCATACAACAGGTAGAATGATGAATGCTTGAAGACTGCATGCTGTCAAATCTGCATAATTAATAGCACCTGCCTGAGATATTCATTTCATAGTCTCATAGGCTTGCTCACTAGATATTTTGTCAGCATGTTGCTCAAGATTTCATTCAAGTGTTTCATCTTCTCATTTATCTGCAGATGATATGATATTGTTCTATGATGTCTTATCTGTAACTGACTCATGAAATGTCTTATCACTTCTTTCACAAGATTCACACTGTTATCAGTTAGAATCTCATGCAGCATTTCATAGTTAACATAGATCTTATTATGTAGAAACTTCACTATCACCTTCTCTATCATCTCTAGAACTGCTTTTGCAACTGGCTAGCCAGTAGTGTAATCAATAGCAGTGATTATTCATCAATTTTCATTTAATATTCACAGTAATATGTCTATGAGATTCATCTCTCATTATTTAAACAGTTGTATTATACACTTTATCTGATGTTATGCTTTCTTATATTCTAACCCTTTCTTAGATTCTTTTACAACCTGACAATTCAGGCACTTGTGAGTGTACACCTGAATGTTCTCAGTTATACTTGGCCAGTATACTCTTGATTTGAGTATACTCATGAGTTCAGAACTTTCTAAGTGACTGAATTCCTTGTGCATGTGAGTCATCAAGTCACATCTAAATGAAGATTCTAGATAGAGAGCTTCTGTGTATTCTAGATTGTGATAAAGCATAACATTGTTTTTCAATTTTCTCAGCTTGAAGTTCAGAAGCATCTCTTCTACTACTTTCACAAGACACTTGTTATCTGACATCTTGTTATTCTTTAAGTGAGAGATCATGATATTCACTCATTCTGATTCCTTGCATTTTCTCAGTGTGTTTAATATGAATGTCTCTTATGCCTGATTCATAGAACTCTCACTTATGAAATTGAGTCTGCAACTGATTGCATCAGGCATCATAGTATTCAATTTCTTTTAGTATTTAATATGAAGATTATACACTTAGAACTTCAAGATTCAATATACTAAGTGTTTGAAAGGTTTTATTATTAATTATAGATAGATAAGACTTTCATGATCTGTGATCACTGTTGTTATATACCTGTTGTTGATATATCTATTTCATAACATCAGTGCATGCTTGATTGCTAGTAATTTCTTTTCATACACTGAGTAATTGAGCTCAATGTCTGATAGTTTCCTATCATTATACATTATCAGATGCAGCTTGCTATTCTTACTCATCTGTAGAAGAGTGTCTCTGATAGCTTATTTGAATATATCTATCTTAATATAGAAAGATTTATCACAATCTGATTGAATAAGCACTGAGAATGTTATTATATATTCTCTCAGTGTGAGAAAAGCCTCTTCACACACAGCATTTTAGATAATTGAATAATACTTCTTCTTTCACAGATTTGCATCTATTTCTCTTAAGAGATCTAAGAGTGATGCAGATATTTATGTGAAATTCTTGATAAATCTGTGATAGTATGAGATTAACTCAAGAAACTGTTGTACATGATGTATATTTCTCAGTCACAGTCAATTCACTATAATATTCAATTTCTCTGAGATAAGATATATACAGTCATCACTCACTACATGTTCTATGAACTTCAACTCTTTCATTTCAAACACACACTTGATTGATTTAATATAGAGCTTATACTCTGTCAGAGTTGTAAGCACTTTATCAAGATGCTTCAGATATTCATTATATGAGTTTGAAAAGACTAGAATATCATTGAGATATACAAGATATGAGATTTTATTCTGTTTATGAAGAATTGTATTCATCATTATTTGAAAGATGATGAGTGTATTTGTCAGACTGAATAATATTATCAGAAATTCAAACTTCTCTCATTATATATTAAACATGATTCACAGAACTGACAGTTCATCTACACAGATCTGTCAGTATTCTGAGAGAAGATTAATCTTTGATAGATATTAAGTATTTTCAACTGTATTCAACTATTATTAAATCTGTGACAGTGAATATTCATTCTTGATTGTAAGCTTGTTAAGTGCTCAGTAATTAATACACATCTGTCACTTCTCATCTGTCTTTTTCATAAATAGAACTGAAAAGTCTCACATACTTGATAAGAATTGTATGAGACTATGTTCTAGAAGGTCTGTGATCTGACACTTCTGTTCTTTAAGATGTGTTTGTGACAGAGAATACACATTCTGATTGACTGGTTTTATGTCTTCTATGTCAATCTCATGTACAAATTCTCATTCTGATGATAATTTCAGTGAAAGATCTGTTTAAAAGATCTTCTCATACTTCTTCAGAAGCTTCTTCATATGCTTGTTCTTCTGCATATCTTTTATCTTGATTTTCTCTGCTTTCAGGTCCTGTATGACATACAGAATACTTTCAGATGAGATCTTGTAAATCATTCTCTTTACTTATTAGTATGTAAGCAGATTTAATCCTTCTATATCAGAGATGTGAAATATCCTTCTCATGTCAGTTAATAGAATTGTATGAACTGTTTTCTTCCTATCAGTCAACTGCATATAGCATGTACATCATTGAATCTGTGAATTGAACCTTTGAAATCAATCAAGTTTAAGAATAAGATTATATTTCATATTCTGCAGCTCTCACACTCAAATATAGCAAGATCATTCTCTGAAGTACAAGAGAACTCTTACTCTTGCAGGTGATATCAAATATCAGTTATCAGATAATCTTATATATCAGAGATTCTTCACTTGATAAATCTCTTTCAATCTTTGAATCATATAATCATCAATATATTGTGTAGAAGCTTCTATATCTTCTAACACTTTTGCAGCCATCTCTTGATTCTTATTCAAGTGCTCTCTATACATTAACATTTCAGGTCTTAAGATATTGA